ACAGACATATGTATACATACATATATACCTATACGCACATGCCCCTACATCCTTTCGTACATACAATCATACATCCATCCATCCATATGTGCATACATACATATGCAGAAATGCATGCATACCTGCACGCATACCTACATGCATACGTACAAACATACAAAACAACAAATCACATAGCACAATGTGACATAGCATAACATACCATAGCATAGCATGGCATACCATAGCATAGGTATGCCAAGCCATAGCATAGCGACACATAATCTAAATAAACAAGCAAAGCGTATCATAGCATAGCATAGCATTACATACCACATCATATCATCACATAACACAACATAACATAGCGAAACATAGCATAACATAGCATATCATGGCACAACATAACATAACATTCTATACTGCACCACACCAACGCATAGCCTGGTATTGCGTTACATGCATGCTATGACATGCTATGCTATGCCATGTCATGTGTGCATGCATGTAAACATACATAGGTACGTATTTGTTTGCATATGTGCACATACTTACATTATACGTCGTATACACGTGTAGACAAGGTGAACAGGGTTTACGATCGTAAGCCATACTTATCAAGCTCTGGATGTACAAGTCACCAATGAACAAGAAAGCCTTACACAGCCATCCACGTTGACGGGCATGATGGAACTCACCATCATCGCGATGCCAGTCGTTGCCCTGAACCCGAACCGAACACTTTTGGCTCGCGCAGTTTTCGCACCTGGGTTCGATGTGACTCCATCGCCCCTTTATGAGGCAATCGACCTCAAACTACAGGGGCTGAACCTCGTCACGACCACCGCAACCATCATGGTCATAGCCATGACTGAAGGATGCACAATAAACGACCGCTTCATGCTACCAATACTCAATTGCACTAAGAGTCGCTGTGTAAGCATCTTCAAATTTATCCTGCAATGTCTCGGTGTACGATCCTTGAAGAATAAAAATCCCCATCGCGGCGGAACGGCAATGCAGCCATCTTGCCCAGAAGACGTGACCCCTAAACCTGACGTCGAAATACATACATCCAAACCTTGCACCCCTAGTTAGAGGACATAAGCCTAGTCCCTCGACCAGGTAACACCCCCATGTCCCAAAGCATAAAGCTAAAAGGGATACACATGACCGAGCGCTGGGCAGTGTTCAGAATAGCCTCGAGCCACGTCCCGGTCCTCCAAATGTGGCTTTCTGATGGAACTGAACGACTTCTATAGCAATCCGTAGGGTAACCATTAATAGTATCCCATAGAGCAACCCTGGTAGTAACCCCAACGCAGTCGCAGTTTGAGAACGCCTAGTTTGACCCGTTCTAACATCATCAAACTGAACCCTAAACCCTAAACCTCGAACTCTGTCTCACTGTATCAAACTCAGCTGTCCTGCGGTCGAAGACGAAGATGAAGTGTAGATCTTCGTACTCTGCCGCAGTTGCCGTCTCAGCACAGAGAGCTTAGGCTGTAGCGTTAGAGGCTTCGGGACCCAGAGACTCCAATATCCCTTATTTAAGGAATATACCTTAAATTTTAGTAGGACCCCTAATATAATTCAGGGTATATTCCTTAATTAAGGGATATTGGAGTCTCTGGGGAACAGATGCCGGCTGCTGAGCTTTGGCGCTTTTTGGGGGTGGAGGGTTCATGTCAGTAGCCTGCGGCTCCACTACCATCAGACTCTTAAGTCCGCTACCCCAATAGCCATAATACTAGCAATAAGGATAGAATAAATAAACAAATACAGTAGAGAAATATATGAATTGCAAATGAATAATAAGTAAGTATATATTATATATATGTATATATAAGTTAATTAGTTAATATATGTATATGTGTATATATATATATATATATGCGCACACAGAGACACCCTTGCATCTCTACCTCCTGATGAAACCATCACCATCAAAAACGGCCCTTCACGAAAAAGTCTGAGCCCGAAATCCTACTCTCTGGTCCTGAAGCTTGCCTAACAGGGCTTAGTATGTATCAAGTGAGAATACGACCTCTCTTGTAACGAGTTGACATGGCTAGCGAACTCTTGGGACTACTGCTTCAGGTCCGTTCTTCATTCACTGAAACTTAAAAGCTCAGGGGCACCCGACCCCTTCTTTGAAGCGAGGATCCCGAATTGGTTAGGCTCCCACGAAAAACTCCCAATCTCTGGGGGCCCGGCCATGGGAACGATGACCGTGCGCTCGTTGTAGCGCAGGACGTCCGGACAAGGCTGGGACAAGCGGCGTAAGGGCGTAAGGGCAGCTGGAAGGCTTCTGGAAGGGTCAGAATCCCGGTTACAAGAAGCGCTACCGTAAGGGTCGTCGTTCCTTGGGGTTTCGGATGTGAGATGCCCCCCTGGCACCCGACAAAGCCTTCGTTCGGGTTTAATCGGTGTTCACGGTCCTAGCGTCCTGGCGTTTTTAGGGATTGAAAGCTGCGGGATTCACCTCAAGCAGAAACCGCAAATCCGGAAAGCCAAGTTTCCATGAGCTCGACCGAGCGACATTTGACCGCCCAGGCGCGAAAACGGAAGGACAACACTCAAACGCGAACACGCTGATTTGCCGTGTGTCTCTCCTTGCTAAGTGAAGTCCTCATGTCACGAAGCTCTATGCCATTACCCAATCTCTCTGCTGGTTGAGACCTGGGAGTCGCGAAGAAGCAACCAAAGTAAACCAGAAGCAGCCGAATCAGTGCAGGCCCAAGAGGCTCTGACCACACTTACCAGCTCCAGAAGCTTCCAGCCCGTATATTAAGGTTACGGCATTCCCTTGCCGCGCAAGACGATGAATCTATTGAGCCTCTTAACTATAAACGCAACGATACAGCTGGAAACCAGAATCTGGTTCGGAACCCCAAAAACCTCCAACAAAAGCGGTAGTGGTAGTATAGTGGCAGTGGCAATGGCAATAGCAGAAACAGTAGCAGCAGGAGTAGGAGTAGGAGTAGGAGTAGGAGTAGGAGTAGGAGTAGGAGTAGGAGTAGTCGGACTAGGAGCCAGAGCAGGAGCTGGAGTAGGAGCGAAAGCATACTATCAGTACTTCAACTACTACTACTACTGCTACTACTACTACTACCACCACTACCACTACTACCACTACTACTACCACCACCACCACCACAACCACCACTACCACTACTACTACCACCACCACCACCACCACCACGACTACTACTACTACTACTACTACTACTACTACTAGTACTACTACTAAAACTACTACTACTACTACTACTACTACTACTACTACTGCTACTACTACTACTACTACTACTACTACTACTAAGTACTACTAGTACTACTACTAGTAC